TTGCAGGGTTTGCATCCCTTAGTGGCCTCAGGCACTCCACAGGGAGTGGATGCCTGAGGCTGGCCAGGGCCAGGGAGTGGTCCTGGGCGCACAGAGAGAAAGGGTTTCTATTGGTCTAAAAGCGAGGACTCCACCGATTATGTAATTATATTCACTTTTGTGGCCTAGCTAGTACTATCCAATAGAAACCATGCGATCCTTATAGAATCTCATCTGGTAGCATGTCATATTAACGGCCTCGCCTACCACGGCGAGCTGACGAAGTCAGTGCTTGCTATACGGGCAAGCACCGGCTCCGTCAGATCCTAGGGACATACAACGACGCTCCCTAGGAAGCCAGGTAGCGAGGGCCTCTCACGAAGAGCCTCTCGCTGCGAGAATTCGATCTAAGGGACTAGGGAGGAGAGTGTGGCAGGCAGCGGGAAAGGGTTAGTAGCGACCTCGCTTACTAGCCATATAAAGAAATCCTCTAAACTAGTTAAGGATTAGTATCCTTAGGAGGCAAAGTGGAGCGTCCTAAGAAGTAGGAAGGAGAGGGTGTATAAAAGAGCGAGGGAGTGAACGATCTCTCCCTTAGAGCACCTTAATAAGCACCCTCTAATATAAAGAAGAGCGTACTAAGTAATTATAGACACTACCTTCTTCGGCGAGGGAGGTAGATAATACCACCTAGCGGAACCCTAAGGAGGAGACGCCTAGCTAGGGCCTCTCCTAACGCCGGACGAGTTCCGCGAGTACCTTCCTCTAGGGATATAGCGAGCCTTCGACCGCTTCCTAGACTTCCTAAAGAGGAACGAGGTGTTTAGCCGGGCACCGCTTAATAACGAAGAGCGGGTGATATAGCTAGAGTATATTTTTAATATCTCCCTAGGGTTAAGGGATATCCTTCCTTAGACCGAATAAGCACCCGGCTAGTATCGCTTAGAAGTGGCTAGTAAGCTAAGGGACTTAGCCTAGCCTAAGAAATACTAAGGGAGTTAGTAAGGAAATATAGCTAATAACTAGCTCTATAACTACTAAGAGTATTTTAAAAAGCGCCGCTTACTCTCGGGCCACCTAGAAGGGGATACGTATAAAATTATACTCGCCTCTAGACTACTAGTTAGTGACGTAGGGAGTAAGTAGCGGACCTACTAAATAAGGGTCGGAATAGGTTAGGAAGCTCCTATCGACACTTAGGAAAGCTTTAAGACCTAGATTAAAGAGCGCTTCGAGCTAAAGATAGCGGAGGTAGATCGATATTATAGTTATATTAATAGACGATAGAAGGGAGATAGCGTCACTAAGTACTACTCGGCGCTCCTTAAATTATTAAATAACCTCTAGGAGCCGGCTATAGAGTATAGCTTTATCCTCTAGCTAGTCTCGGGATTAAACCCGACTCTCCGGGCCGAATAGTATAAATAACGGAATCGCCCTAATAGGGTAGTAGACGTAGTTAACCTTCTTTTAGAACTTAAGAGGAGTGGCTAGGAAGCGGCTAATACTCGCTTTAACCGTTTTCTAAAGAAGGGCTCTATAGACCCCGATACGATAGAACTTACGGCGATACCGACCTAAGGAACTTACTAGAAATACGGGAAATAAGGTCACCTAAAGAGGGACTATATAGTAAGGAAGGAAGGAAAGATAGAGGAGGGAAAAGCGGGGGGTTAGTAAGCCCTAGTAAGCTTACTAACCCGCTCCCTAAGCCCCTCCGCCCCGAGAAAAGGGAGGAGCTATAGGAAATAGAACCCTTACTCGCTAGCCTAAGACTTAATACACTAGGAGAAGACCTTATATTCTTTAACGGTTATCTCTCTCGGCCCGCTACCGAGGGGACTCCTATCACTACCTATATACTACTAGATTATAGAGCGAGTTATATATTCGTGTTATTAGAAATAGCCCGACGAGTAGGCGGGAAGTGGGATAAACGCCGGCTACTACTAGTACTCCTACCTAATAGGGAGGAAATATATATATAGGGAAAGATAGAAATAGCTATCTCCCTCGGAAAGTAGATAGGAAGTTAGACGGTATAGGCTATAGACCTAAAAGGGTATAATATTATACTCGGAAATAACTTCCTATACCGACACGACCCGCTTATTAGCTTCCCGAGGAAAAGGATATAGCTAACGAATAGGACGGGTAAACACTAAGTGCTAGCGGTAAATAGCCGAGCCGTAGGTACGAAGGTCGAGGGTTTATTAAACTTACTCTTTAAGAAGGAGGCTAGCCGGTTATTAAGGGACGAGGACGCCTAATATATATTATTTTATATACGTAAAGTCGAGGAGGTAGCACGACCGGCTAAAGGTCGTTTAGCGAAGTTACTCGCTAAGTATATAGACGTCTTCCTAGAAGAGCTACCGAAGGAACTCCCTCCTAAGAGAGCTTTCTCACACTATATCGATACGGGAAGCGCTACGCCTATAAACCTTAATACCTATCTTTTATTATATAAAAAGCTCGAGGAGCTAAGACGGTAAGTAAAGGACCTTCTCGATAAGGGGCTTATCTAGACATCGGCTAGTCCCTAGGGCTTCCCGGTAGTCTTTATAAAGAAACTAGAAGGCGCTTAGCGTATATATATTAACTACCGTGCCCTTAATAAGCTTACTATTAAGAACGGATACCCCTTACTAAGGATCTAGGACTTACTAGAGATCGTCGGTCGAGCTAAGTACTTATCGAAGGTAGACTTAGTGTCCGGATACTAGTAAGTGCTAATAGCTAATAGATCGGTCTAGAAAATAGCCTTTAATACTATCTAGGGGAAGTACGAGTAGCGAGTAATACCCTTTAGGCTATATAACGCGCTAGCCACTTTCTAGATATTAATAAATAAGGCACTCCGTCTATATCTCGGTAAGATAGTGGTTATATACCTAGATAATATCTTAATCTTTTTAGATATAGAGGAGGAGCACTATTAGTATTTAGAGGAAGTGCTTAAGTGTTTAAAGGAGTAGAAGCTATATATAAAGCCTAAAAAGTGTATCTTCGTCACTAAGGAGCTAGAGTTTTATAGGTATATTATTAGCGATAGGAAAGTACGGCCCGTCCTAGTAAAGCTCGACGCTATCACTAGCTAGCTAAGACCGATAAACGTTAACGAGGTAAGGCACTTCCTAGGACTTACTATATACTATCGCCGCTTTATACGCGGCTTCTCGAAGATAGCCGCCCTACTACACGACCTAACTAAGGAGGCCGATAAGGAGCTCCGTAGGAAGAAGTTTAGACCGATTAACTAGACGGAGTAGTGTAAAGTCGTATTTAGGTAGCTAAAGGAGGCGCTAGTAAGCGCCCTAGTACTTATCTAGCTAGACCGTAGGAAGCTATTTATTATAGAGATAGATACCTCCGAGTGGGCTATTAGCTTCGTCCTCGGCTAGGAAGCGGAGGATAGGAAAGTGCACCTAGTTACTTTCGATAGAAGGAAGCTTAAGGCCGCCGAGCTAAATTACCCGGTATATAAGAAGGAGCTACTAGCGATTAAGGAAGCACTCCGCACCTAGGAAAGATATCTAGAAAACGGGACCACTACCACTATTATTATAGACTATAAAGGCCTATAGTATCTAGCTACCACGCGTGAATATAATAAGCGCCTAGTATAGTAGGTAGACGAATTCTAGTCGTATAACCTCACTCTCCGCTATAGAAAGGGTGAGGAGGCGGTTATCCCGGATACGATAAGTAGGCGACCCGACTTCCTAGGCGAGGGGCCGGCTAATATAGCCTAGGAGCAACCTATATAAGGACGGCTAGCACTTATAGCTATAGTCGGAGGATTCGAGGAAGCTAAATAGTATAAAGGTACGGTATAGTACCTACTAATAGGCACCTTACCCGAGGACAAATTGCTCTATAAGGAGGTGTTACGGCACGCGGGGAGGCTTATAGTATAGGAATCTCCACTCCCCGGTGCTACTTTATAGGAAGAAAATATAAAACTTATATTTAGGAATAGGGATAGCACTACTACCCTATACCTAGAGCCGCTATTTAGGAAGGACTTTTATCGGACGAGGGACACTAATATGAACTAATACCAAAGAACTTATTATACCAAGTAAGTGGTAAAATGAGTGTA